CTCTCTCTCTCTCTCTCTCCCTCTCTCTCTCTCTCTCTCTCTCTCTCTCTCTCTCTCTCTCTCTCCTTTATGACGTTGGACTAGTTTACGAATCATTAGCGGAAGCCTTCATCCAACGAGATGGGGATATCGTGAGCTCGTATATGCTCCGCTTTCAATTAAAGGCAAAGCTGGACGGTCTCCCCCCTTCTCTCTCTCTCTCTCTCTCCGTTTATAATCGCTGAGAAAATTACACGACCGCGCGAGCTAGTTAAAGTAATCAGGAGAAAAACGCGAATTAAAGCCGGACGTTAATGTTTCGTATATTTTTGCATGAGAGGAGGGAGCGGAAGCGCCCGACGGGATGGAAAATATTGACTCGAGTATCAGATTTTAATCAGCCGAGCTGAGAGCGAAAATATTTGGCGGAGGGCGATGCGTGCGCGACTCGCACGGCGAATCCTGAAATTAAGAGAAACTGGCGACGCAACCCTCTCTTCTCTTTCTTCCTCTCTGACAGCGCGCGACGCTGAGTCCGCGTGACACGATCGAGAGACGGCGCGTCAGCAACCCTCCTCCCTGGAGAGGAGAAGGGAGAGAGAGAAAGAGGACGTCAAACACACATAATCCGCGCGAAATTACTGCGTGCTGGCGAAAAGCTTCGCGAGTAAGTTTCGAAAGCGGACGTACCGGCGCGCTCAGGCGGTCAAATATGTACTCTGGGGTAGCCAAACACACACCCACACATACACATACACACACACACACACACACACACACACCGGCAGTCTTTCGCGCGAACGGCGCCGTTCGCAGCTGTACGTGCTAAAATATCCATCGCGACATACGTCGCATGCAGTCGGGCTGCGCAAAATGCAACGTTAATCTCACCGTTCGGCCGGAGTGAGTTCCCGGCGAAAAATTCGGCCGAAAGGTATACGCGTGCGTGCAACGTTAACAAGCGAATTCGCGCGTATTTTACGAGGGCTGCACGTGTGGACGCGCGGACGGCAAGGAGGAGAAGGGGGCAAGTGGATATTTCGGGGCACCTCCGCGTTTTCTTTCTTGCCACGACTGGTGGCAGATTAATTCGGAGAGCCGATTAGCGACGTTTCATTTCACAAATACGCCTTCTTCTGCCGGCTCGCGCTGGCGCCCCAAGCGAAAATTGCGTACTCGCATTTAATTGCGCGCCGGTATCGAAAATGAAAAGTTGGCAGACGCGTTAGGAGCGCTGTTGACGGGCACCCGTCAAATTTTCACTAGCGGAAAATCCACTTCAAATTTGTCAGGCTGCAGCTGAAACGATATTCAATAACGCGGCGGCACGCCCCGTATATAAAATATACCCCACATTCAGCGGGGCGGACATATCTGCAAAATATTTCGGCCGAATATTTTTCCGCTTCCAATACGATAACTTCTAACTCACTTTACGGCCATTCGCGGTCATACGTCGCCGCAATGAAATCATCCTCCGCTCCACTTTACGCGCTGATAAAGTGCTTAATATTTTAATCGTTCGTTTAACGAGCGCGATGCCCGCGAGAATATTTCGCGCTTTGCAGCGCGTCCAATCAAAATAGCCGATTGGGTATCGAACTCGCGGCGAATAGTCGGCCGAATGGAGTCGGCTCGTGGAATCGTTTTATTCGCCAATTCATACTTTTATCGGAGGATTATTATTTGATAAACATGTATAATCTTTTAATATAATTTAGAAAAATAAGAGAGAAATAATTCGCGTAACTTTGCGATAGATACACATCTCACTCTCGATCCGCATTCTGCTTAAATTTCTAGTAGATCTAAGATTTAAGAGAGAGGGATGAAATCTCAGATTTAATCTTTATACCGACAGAAAAAAATTCCTAAAAGATAATAAATATTTATGTGATGGTTGCTAATAACATGTTTATTTAAATCTTTTTATTTAAATGGAATAAATTGTGTTTTTATGAGAAGCTAAAATTCTCTTTAAGTTCTGAGAAAATAAACATTTTCTTATTTGAAAAATATTTTATATGTGTAAATAAATATGTTACTAGTATCCGAATAAATATTTACTATTTCGTAAATACTTCTTTTTCCAGCGTAGTATAATTCTGAGAAAAGCTAAATTTCTAATAATATTCTAAGATTTTCGCGATTCGACCAGCCGGCGTAGAATATATCGACGCGATATGATCATACGTAAATATTACGTGTACAATTTATGTGTAGGAAGACATATGCTAAAAATTACTCGTTATTCAGCAGTCCAGCGCGATAAGTCTGAACTGATAAAGCGTGCGCTGGCGGCCTCCGACCCGTTAACACGCGTTAATAACGGCATGTTGTTTTTCTCCAGACACGCGTGTTTAATACGTACCACAGCGTATAAACTTCCTTTTCACGTTACAGCGTAATGAACAACAACAGCGTGGAGCAGCCAGATCCGGACAACATAAAGATGTTCGTGGGTCAGGTACCTCACGACATGGACGAGAACGACCTGAGGACGATGTTCGAGGAGTACGGCCGAGTGCACCAGATAAATATCCTGCGGGACAAGATCACCGGCAGTCACAGGGGTAAGTGATCGGACCATTTTCTGGGCATACGACTCGCATGTCTCAAAAATAGTTCACCGACGCACCGCCGATTATCAGCGCACGTTCAACGACGTTAACGGGACGATGCGTCAGTAATTAGCGGGACGGAAGGGTGAAGGTGCGAGAACGGACGCGTTTACGAAAGGATCGCCCGAGAACCGTTTCTCGGAGACGCAACTCCCGAGAGAGGCTGAAAATGCGCCGAACAAATTCGCCGCCGATCAACCAGTGCGTCGAAAATCACATTTTCGGCCACTTCGATTAACTCAGTCTGTCGGCGTTTCGCGATTTAATCGAATTTTCAATATATTCGTCGTTTTGCGGCGCTCCGCGCCACATTGTTGACGTAGTTTCGTACACCGAGGCGTGCCGAAATTAGCCGTTATTCAGAATATTCTGGCCTTTTTCGGATTCCGAATTACTCCATTATCAAAATCGAAATGTCGCTTATTAAATTTCCCAAATTCGTGGACGCGGGTCGCGAATGGGGATGATGGTTCTGATAACGGAAAGAGAAAAAAAGAAAAATAAGAAACGGGGGGAAGTACACAAAAATGTGAGGTAATGATTTTTTATTCTGAGGGAGATGTTAACCACCTGAACCAAGTTATTCCGCACAATTATTTAGCGCGAGGCAGTGACAGTCGCAAGCTTGAAACTCAAATTCCGCTGATCTCCGCGTGCCTCAGATAAGGATAACGAAGGCAGATCGTATGTACAACATATGTAGAGTCTAGTCAGGGACGTTGGTCGTTTCCACGGTCTTTCCTCGGGGTATATCGATCGAGGTAGGGGATAAACGGGAGAGAGAAAGAGAGAGAGAGAGAGAATAACCCTCGTGGGACTCGGTAACGTCCCCACGTCCGAATGCAAGCAGCCGCGCGCTTGTAACGCGGCTGCCACTGAAATATGCACGTGCTCGCTAATAACGAGCCTTAACGCTCGCTAAACGTCACCGGCACCAGCGAAAGTTTGCGCAATTACTTTCGTCGTACGGATGACTTCAAGTTTGCGGCCGGTGCGGAAGTCAGGCGTCGCGCGCGGTTGCCCGTTATATGAATGTGGATATGTAACGCGTATGTGTGTGTGTGTGTGTGTGTGTGTGTGTCTACGTTTATGTGTACGTCTAAGAGGAAGAGGATATCGATTTCTACGCATACGTACGAGACGCGGTCGAAGTTTGCCATGGAGATTGCCGAGCGTAATTATACTCGCACCGCGATAAAGCGTGGCCCGAAACAGCGAGGGACGAGGGGGAAATGACGTCCCATAGCGTTATCGTCTTAAGGTGGCAGTAGCGGTGGAAAAGTGGTGCTAGAGATTGGCGATAAATAAATGAAAATTTCGCTGTAGCGTGCAGGAACGCCCAGGTAATCAGCTTCATTTTCCTCAATCGATTTTTTTTCCGATGACTTATTTCAGTTGGTTCGCAGGAACGAACGTCCCTCGCGTCTCTTACGTGGTCACCCGACATTGATTCCGATTGTTGTTACTCGTATAACGGAGGATAGATCGGAGAATCGAGACGAGCGTGTCTCACGAGCCGCATTCGCTCCCGCGCTTCTCGCACGAGCGTGCGAATCGAGTCGTCGATCGGGCGGCAGTCTTCGCGGGGATCAGCGGATAAGTGCATCTGTATGTAAAATGTACGCGATGCGCGCGCTATCCGGGTCGGAAGGCGCGAAGCGTCGGTATCCTGAGAACTCGCGGAATAATTAATGTGGGCGAATTGTACGCGTCATGCGCACCTGCAAAATTGATGGCGGCAGCCAGTACAGCTGGGATGAAATTCGTTCCCCATTGTGAAAATTTAACTTGATTACCATGACGTAATGGTGAATTAATGTCCCGTTCGCCGCGGGGGCCTTTTGTTTAACGCATCGCATTTCAGATTCAAAGTCTCTGTCAACGCTGGGAGTCTCAATTCCGCGATAAAACAGGTGAGTAATTACTGCTTCGTCAATTAACTCGCGGCTAGACGCGCTCGAACGGCCGCGCCTTCTTCGTCTGACCGTTTCCCAAGTATCCAGCCGGATATTCAGGCTAATTGGACTCGTCGGACGCGTCGTCGTCACGACGAGAATCTCATCCCGCGACGCACCGACGGCTCTCTCTCCTTCTCTCTATCGGTTTAAATTATATTACTTAAGCAAAACACGCGCGCACTGCGCGAGGAGTAATACGCTCGACACGACGAGCCCGTACGCGCCTGCGTCTGGCGTTCTCTCTGGCCAAACAGCGAGACACACAGAAGGTAAATTCTACAATACATCGGGACGCTTTCGCTCGCCGGTGGAAATAAAACACTGGAATTTCCAGAAATTCTATATTAATTAAGCCGCGCGGAGCCGACGGCCACGGCGTAAGCTGCTCTATGAAAAATTAACAAAGAGTACTTGTGAAATATGTTTGATTTACGCCGGAATAAATTTAAATTCTGAAATTACCGACAAGGAGATGCTCGCAACGCCACGTCGTCGTCATCGTCGTCGTCGTCGTCGTCGTCGTCGCGACGATGAAAAAATTGTCACAAACCTTTCCACATTGATCATTATAATACTGTAATACGTTCCCTGCGTTTCAGTCTGTGCGCCGTTTCTCATTAAATCAGCTTCGAGATAATTTCATTGCGCGATAAAATATTTTTAATTAAAGCTCAGCAGAGAAAGGGAAAAAGAGGGAATAACGTACGGCGTAATTGAACTAAAGGCAACGCTTTTTCGAAGTCGATTGATCAAATTAGTTTCCGATTAAAAGGAGGCGAGCGCGACGATCGCACCGATCGTACGTTCAACGCTGAAACACAGTGTTTTCTCAAGTCATCGAAAGTTCCCGTGATTAACGGTCGTGTTATGATATCGCCCGTTATGTTATGACAACATTCCATTTTCTGCGTCGTCAGGACGCGCCAATTTTGCCGCGAAGCGGATTCGCGCATTGCGGCGACATAATCAGCGGAGGCATTACCGTGCTAATTTAGGTATATGCCTGAAATCTCTCGAAACAAGAGATTTCCCGCGCAGGGAAGAGATTAAACGGCGAAGTCATCTGCTGTCGAGATCAATATCGCGGGAGCGAGCGTCCCGTGGAATGTTCAATTTGGCGAGTCAATAGGGAGACAGCGAACTCGCGGCGGACTCCTTTTATGTCCGATTAAAACGAGTGCGGAACCGTGTTCGCAATGAAGACCTACGAGATTGCCATCGCAGCCAATATATTGGAATCTCGAAAGTGTCCGACTGCGTCCGCTTCTTGTCGCAAAGTAGCGGAATTCGATACTCCGCTACTTTGTGAGACACGGGCACGACGACGCCGACGACGATGACGACAACAAGATCCTCTGCAAACAAGGAGGGAAAGGAAAAGGAGGAGGAAGCCGCTACCGCTGTTACTCTGCCATTGCAGAATTTTCCACGCGGAATTCCCGTTGTTCCGCCGGGCGAAAAGACGTCGGGAAATGTTTTAGTTAAATTAACAGAGCTCTCTCGCGCGCGCAGCGATGCTACCTTGTGTGTCGATTGCGAATTCCTCCTCTTCGACGAGCTTCCTGTTACCCTCGTTGTGTCTGCGAGGATATACGGTATCGTTTCCAGGCGCGTTTGTCTCTCGTATCTTCACTGCCGAAAGCTACCCCTTTCTCTCTCTTCCTCTCTTTCGCGAAATACTTTGCGCGCGAATCGCGCTCCGGTGGATTTGTTTGCCTCGCTACACGGAAACGCGAATCGACTGCTACCAGCGCTCGTTACGCCTCTCCCTCTCTCCCCCTTTTTCCCCGAAATATACCCCGTCATTAATCACGCGGCCCTATTAATCGTCCTTAAGTCGTGCCATGCTCGCGTCACCTCGCTCTTTCACGTCCAAGAAAAGCCGAACTTGGTCTCAACGCGGTGGCTGTCTTTAAGCGGCCCCATAGAGATCGGCTGCACTATTTGTCAGCCGTGTATAGTGCCTGAAAACGGCCCCGAGAAGATCGATATCCTTCCCGCGGCCTTTACCGTGCACTCTCTCTCTCTCTCTCTCTCTTTTTCTCTCTCTCCCCTTCCCTCCCCCTCTCGCTGTCGTCACTCACAATAATCGATTTTACACAGAATATCGCGGGCACAAAGACGACGCTATTGAGACGTCTCCGAATTTGCGGGGACGGAAATTCTGCGCGATATCAGGACAATTTCACGGATTAAGAAGATTCGGATGTATCGTCGCGCGGAATTGACCCCCGGAATTGATTATCTCTTCATCTACCTGTGCATTCTTTTCCTTCTCTTATTTTTGCGCAACGAGACCGCGTTCTTTGAGCGTCTTATGTCTCGTGGCTGGCGTTTCTCTATTTTCCCGGTCTAATGGTTACTTCTTCGTGTCTTTTTGTACCGCGCGACTTCCGGTCTCTCCCAAAGGCTACCCAAAATCGTGAAGAACCGCCCGAGTCGTCGTGGACCGTGCACTTCAGGATTACGCGAGGAACTTTAAACGAAACTCCGACGCGGAAGTATCGCAAAGCTGCTTCCGAGGTGAGCTCGTGTTCCAGCACGTGCAAGCCGGATTCGAGGTAGTTTCTGGTTCTTTTCGCAGGAGAATAGCGGACTTTTCGAAGACAGATAAATTTTTGAAGTCCCATAACGGCCGCGCCGAGCTGATAACTAAATGTACGCAGTATACTTCGCAACTCAAAGGAGCTTTAGATAATTGCGCGATGTATTTTAAAGCGCGGGAGCCGCGTTTACGGCGTGCGATGCTCGTCAAAATGTTAAAAGGTCAAGTGGGGGAAAGAAAACCGACACGAGCGGATTTGCCAGAGGAGGCTACCTCCAATAAATATCATTATCTCTTCGGCTTTAAAAATTCTCAAGATACTTTTGCTCCGGCTACGAACGCGACTTTTTATCGAACGAGCAATCGTCGCAACTCACGAATTACCGACCGTAATTTTCGCGCAGAAGTTTCCGCTATCCTTTAAGCGATTTTTCTTTTCTGATGATCAC